CCTTGCACCATCGTACCGTAAGTCGTCACTTAAAATTAGGCCAAAACCGCAACAAGGCATTACCACTACGTTTAGTTACTTTCCTCCTCTTCTTCTTCTACTTCTTCTTCTTCTTTTTCTACTTATATATTTGTCAACCGCATGAAATAAAGGAGATAACGTGTCCCTTTTAGATTTGACATAAGTTAGATTAAAATAATAAAAGTTTGAAATCTTGAAAAACAGATTCAAATGTAAAGAATTTTTTATTTATTTTTGGTTTCTATTTTCGCTTAAAAAAACATACAAATTGACTCGTATGTTAAAATAAAATTATAAATATATTATAAATAATATATTTTATATGATAATAATATAAAAATATAATAATGATATATATTATAATTTTAACATATTAAAATATAATATATATTTATAATTTTATATAATAATAAAATATAAATATATTTAATGAATTTATTATATAAATAAAATTATATTTTATTTACATAATAAATAATATAAATATATAATATATAAGTTATAAGTAAAATTATTTTTTTTGCTATAAATAATTTTTGAACTAGGTTAAAAGAGAGAGAGAGGGTTGGAAAGAGTTTCGGAACCCTTTTTCTAAAAACTTTTTCAAAGTATCCACATATTACAGGTAATACTCGTACCTAGTGTGTCTCTTGTGGTTCAATTCGTAAAAGAGAAAACTTTCGTGGAAACATTATCGTGAGAGAATTCCCTGAAGATTAACATCATAGAATATTTCTTACTTAATTGATAAAACTTTTGAATACTTTATTATAAACTAAAAAAAATGTACAAAAATAATTTATGAATCAAATACATTTTTATTCATGTTAGAAATCTAGATAAAGATATAAGATCATTATAATTTATAATTAAAAAAGATACATATAAAAAAATATATATATATATGTTTTATGTAACGGTGAAAGAAAATTATTCCTGTATAGAAATTTTATATAGAAAAGGGCAAAATATATACATTGCGTGACTCTATAGAAGCAACTTCTTCCTCTTGTATAGAGAATACACATACATCGTTATTCTCGCATGAAACTCACGCAATCGGATTCGGAAATCGATGGAATTCGATTGGGACGACTCGAATGGATGACCTACTTATTAATCATAAAGCCATGAATATGTAGAATCCAGTTTGCTCTGATTGCAGAATATTATGCTCTAATAATTAAATCATTAAACAATAATCTGAAAAATTATACTTGCATTAAAAGAAAAATACAAATTAATTATAATTTTTATTTAAACAGGAAGTTAGAAAAGAATATTATTATTTAATAATTTAATTATCCATTAAATCAATAGAATTTTTTCCTTTTATGAAAAACGTCTTTGGTAAGGTCCTGTCCTTGTTAAAAAACTATCTGTTAAGCCTCTGAGCTATTTCGATTCAAGAAAACTGTCGAACTTTTAATAAAAGGATTTCAGTTTCTTAAGAATACATTTAACACCTTAAGAAATTACTTTCAAAAAGTAATTTCATACTTGTCTAACTTTCGAAGTATAATTTTCCTTTCATTAGTAATGATTTAAAAACAGATCAGATTTCTGCATTTATTTTTATCATTCTTATCGTTATGATTAATCATTATTATTAATGTTATAGATGAATCAAAGTAATTGAAATGAAAGTTAAGTAAAAAATATATAATCTAATAATTAAAACAAGATAAGACGTATATTTTTGTTCAGTAATATCAAGAAATAAAATAATAAAATATAATTGATGATTAATCTTCAAGTATGGTATTGGGTTAGCAAGAAAGTAATTTTGGCTTGCACCAATAGATAAAGTTATGATTGTTTCAACCCTCCATAGTTTCGTTATTCTTTTGTTAATGTTAGAATTTTTTTCTTTTAAGGTTTGGTAGTTGAAACTTTTAGGTTGCTACAGAAATAATTTTCATGTAATTTTGTTTACAGCTGTTAGTTTAGAAACAATTGAGTTTTATTTCACACTAGAAAACCGAAATTACTTTCTTGCCAACCCAATATATTTGAACACATTATGACAATATTTTCATCGGATATTTAAAATTATCTCTTTTTAACATTTCGGTACTCCATCTTATTTTATGGAACGAATTAAAAAAAAAAAAAAAAGAAATCTATACAATAAAAATCTGTCTTCTCGTCACTCATTTTATTTTCTCTCTCTTCCACCTGTTATGACGATTTAAAACGAACGAATTTTATTATTTGACGGGTTTACGTACCGTTCGAGATCCACTTTGAAAACGTTCTTCTTCACTTATTGTACTCATAGTACTTAAGTATACTTAACCGAATAAATCGACTCGTTGAAGTCGAGAGAAGAGAAGCATTGCACGGCAAATTCTGATATCACTTTCACGTTGGCAAACTTTTTTTTTTCTTTGTCTTTCCCTATAATTTCTTTTTTTTGCGTTGATTATTATTATTATTATTATTATTATTATTATTGGTCAACAAAGGAAACCGCGAAACTCGAGGCAATGAACAAAAATTCTTCCAGTGTTGCGGCTCGATTTCATCCGCGTTAGATTTTACGTGTACGTTACCCCCATAGTTTTAAATCCTCGTGTCAATTTTCCTTTTATTTGTTGGACGATTAATTCGCATCCTGGAAGCGAAAGTAACCACGGCAGATATAACCACCGTGATAAACTATCATCTATCCTTTTTTTTGTATCTATTTTATAATGTCTCATCTTTCGTGAAATTGTAATTATAAAACATTTTTATTTTTATTTTTGTTTCAATTAGAATTCTATTATATTTATATATTTTTTTCTATTTTTTATATTTGAATATTGAATTAATTTGATCAGTAAAAACAATTAAATATATTGTACATTAATTGAAATGTTTTATAATAATTCGATGCTTTTAATAATAAAAAGGAACATAATTAAATATTGGCAAGAAAATGATTAGAATGAAAAAAAATGGGTTTCTATAGGAAAATAATTTTATTTTTGATTTCACTTTGAAATAATTAATATAAAAATAAAAATATATATTTGAATTATAAAATTGAAACGTAGATAAAAATAATTCAACTAAGAAATCACATTATCAACGTCAAATCATTTCCTCATTTTTATTTTCCTCTTTCTTTTTTATACAAAAATTTGTATAATTCAAATTGAAACAAATATTATCACATTTCTATAAATGTTTTCTTCTTACAAAAAAAAAAAGTAATTGATTACACCAATGCCTTCTCATTAATTAATATAATAAATTATTTTCCTATTGAAATAATAAAAAAAAAAACAAAGTATAAAAAGAATGACTTCCTCGATGATAAAAATCGTTCGTTTAAAAAACTTTTAACGTATTTTAACTGACAGTGAAAGAAAAAGAGAGAAAGAAAGAGAAAGAGAGAAGGGGGAATGAAAATGAGAATGTTATCTCGAGATCTCCAGGTAAAGTAATCGGGCGTTCTGTAGAAAAAAAAAAACATTGAAAAATAAAAAAAAAACGTGAGAGATCGTGAGATAATATGGCACGGGATCGCATTAAACGTGCAAGTTCCGCAAGGTGAGCGTCCCTACGGAAACAACCAACGAGGAGGAGTCTTTCGTTCCGTATAGAAAAGACTTTTTTCGTTCTAATCGATTCGTGTCGTTGCACTCGGCTTTGTTTTTATCCTATATACATATACACACATATATATATATATATATATAGGAATATCTATTTAATCTGAACAATTTCCACGAGGATTATTTTGTTTTCTTTCTTCGATGAGATCTCTTGAAAATCTCTTGAAAATCATTTTCTCGATCTTTTTTTTATGTTTCCAGAAAAAAATAAATTAAAAAAGGATAGTTTCGAATATTTTACTCGAATTGTTTTAATATTTTATTTATCCTTAAAATTATACCCCATAAGTTTTATTTCTTTATATTATTTTATGTATTTTATTATTTTTTATTATACATATTTATTTTTTTATATTATTTTATATATTATATTATTTTTTATTGTATATATACATTATTTTTTGTATTATTATTTATATTATATAAATTATTTTTTATAGTATTTTATATTATTTTATTTTATTTTATATTATATATATTATTTTTTATATTAATTTATATAAAGAAAATAATTGTAATGAAATAAAATTAAGAATATTGCAAAGATAGACAATCTTTTCTATTATTATAATTTAGTTTATATTTTCGAATGATCATATGACCTATTATTTGTCAAAACTATTGATTATTCTAAAAAGAATTATTAATTGTAAAGAATATTAATTTGTTCTTTCATTTGAAGAAAAAAGTAAATATTGTACATTTGCAATATAATACCTGTTTGTATTCATTTCTTTTTTTTTTTTTTTTCTTATTCTTATTATATTTCTTCTTCGTAACGATTGCACGTTAGATCTCATAATAGTTCATTGTATAATAACGATAATGTTCTCGGTATTACAACTCTATCATGACGATAATCGTGTGACAAATATTTACGAAACGAAGTCTTGACCATCGTAAAATAGCGGATATATGCAATGGCGTAGACTTCGATCAAAAGAAATCATTTAGAAATATATATATCAAATATTATCTATGATATTTGTTATCTAGTTTTTACATTTACTTTTTTTTTATTAAATATGAGAAATACACGGTGTCGTAAAAAAAAAATATTATCACACAATGTTCTAAAGGATTATTAATGTTGTTTCAATATTTTCAAAATGTTGCAAGGGTTTTGAATTTTCAAAGTATAATAATATTTTTTTGCAACACCCTGTTAAGGTGAACCATCGATATCATTGAAAAAAAAGATAGAAAATAAATTACAGTAATTACAAATCTCGAAATAAAAATCTTAATCGTTCGTCGAATTAGAGAACTTTAATTACCACGAGCTAAATAATAGTAATATTTCCAAATAAAAATAATAGAAAAGATAAGATTCCAATCCTATATACGTGTTTACAATGTAACATGTTTATTTACCTTGCATCGAATCAAGAAGTCTCCCGGCATGATTCACAACGGTTAGGAAGATGAAATATCGAGTTGGAAAACGTAACTTTCAAAGAAACTCCTTCGACAAATCTTTTCAAGATGAATCGTTTGAAAAATACTTTTGAAAAAAATACAATAGTACAATAAATCTTTGAATCAGAAACAAAAATCAATATCCCGTAACAATTCAAACCCAAAAACCAAACCCAAAAACACCTCTAAACTTAATCTTTGAAATACATTAAACACAAAACCAAATATAAACTTTCCTTTTTTCTCAAACAATAATAAATTAACAATATATAAATAAAATTTCAATAAATATATTATTAAATAATATTAATAAATAAATAATAAAAAATAAATTAACAAAATACTGTCAATTGTTTATCAAAAATTCCCCATGAAATTTCTGACACACGTTACACTTATGTTAGCATAAATTGAATAAAACGTTCAACCTTGAATATGAGAAAAAAAAGAGAAAGTGACAAAATTTTGGCGGGATTTGTCAAACACAAAATCTTCAAATCGAATCGAACCGATAAATAGTACCGCGTAAAACCTCGAAAAGCTCAACGTTCTTCAACCGTCAAAGGCAAACTGCCTGAAACAGTTTCGCTCTGCGTCGTTCCCCTTCTGACAGTCAGCTGGCCCGTTCCTCCCCCTCCTCCTCCTCCTCCTCCTCTTCCCTATTCCTCTCTCTTCCTCCTTCTCTTTCTATTTCATTCCCTCTCCTCCTCTTCCTTCTCCACTCAAAGCTCTTCCCTTTCTCCGACACAAACATGAACCTTTCTCTAGCTTCTTCCTCTGCTACTCCTCCGAACGATTTTTCGATCCTCTTCGGGTGTCTGTCAGTATTTTTGATCTCTCTCTCTTCGCGAAAGAGAGCTTTCAACGTCAATCTCTCGCAATTCTCCTATCCAAAAGAGAGAAAGAGAGAGAAAGTTTGGATAAAAAGCGTTAGAAAAAAAAAGTATGAGGGGTTGGGGTAAAATAAAAATAGGCAAAAAATAGGAAATCCTCTTTGAAAGGAACCTTGTCGATATTCCGACAATCTACCCCCGTCTGACGCTGCTGCTTTCGTGATTTATTTCTACCCCTTTTTTTCCCCACCCTATCCATTGTTTTTTATAATTTTTTTTGTTTGTTTGTTTGTTTTTTGTAGACGAGATTGAACCATTATCACGTTCGAAATATTCCCCGTTTGGGATTCGAATTCGAGTGAGGGTGAAACTGAACGAGTGAGTAATTTCTTCTCCCTGTGTTTTTTTATTTTTTTGGGGGTTTTTTAAGGAAGATATTGAAATTTTTTTGAAAGAAAAAGAAAAATGTTGACCAAAGTTTGATGATATGTTTCATTCATTTTTATGTCATGATAACATTATCCTAAATTTCGTACTGTCGATTTTAAAAATTGCAAATAATTTATGTGTTTGTTTATATGCAATGTTTAATAAATTAGTATAAAGAATGTTTTAATTTTATATTTATCGATAATAGGAAAAAAAGAAACTGTAAAAATTGCAAATACTTTGTATTTTTTTACAGGGGGATCGTAATAAATTATAAATATAAATATTTAAACATTTTTATGTTATTTATGAATTATTTAACAATAATAAAAATACACGTCTACGTATATATTTGATTAGTAATTTATAACAGTCGCGATCATTGTTACCAGAATGACAGAGAGAAAGAAAAAGAGAAAAAAAGAAAAGATAGCAAGAGCATGATTCACCTGCCTTTCTGAATGATTTATCCTTTTCTTTGTGCTTACCTAGTCGTTTAAAAGTAGATGTGCTAATAAGTATGATGTTACACGTACCAACTATCGATAAACGTGTAAGAGATGATTATTCTCTTGATCAAAAAACACGATATTATACACACTATAATTTCAATAGAAAATTACATCAATTAATATTGTAGATTTTAATCTGTGTTACTAGTAATACACGAGTTCGTAAAACAAAATATTCGAATATTCATAAATAATTATTTATAAATTAAACAAAAACACCTTTTCAAAAATAAAAAATTCAAAGTATATGAATATATACTAATAATATTATATAGTATACTAATAATATATATTAATAAATGCTATATAATATTATATAGTATATTTTATACTAATATAAAAATCAAAATAAATAATAATAAAAATAAATATATTATAGAAAATATATTATATAGAAAATATAATAGATAAAAATAATAAAAAAAAATAATATACAAAAAATTTTAATATTATTTTTGAATATTAAATGAATATTATTTTTGAATATTGTATGAATATTATTTTTTAATATTGCATGAATATTTTTTTTTAATATTGTATGAATATTATTTTTTAATATTGTATGGATATTATTTTTGAAATTTGTAAACAGGGAAGCAAAATCTATTATTCTACAAAATTTGAACAAAATCCGTGAAGGCAAGACCTTGCAATCCCCTTGTTAGTATATATAAAATATACTAGTATAAAAATCAAAATAAATAATAATAAAAATAAATATATTATAGAAAATATTTTATATTGAAAATATAATATATAAAAATAATAAAAATAATATAGAATACATAGAAAATTAAATAATTTTCTATATATTTAATTTCTTACATTGCTAATTTTTTTACCATCTTATATAATTTAATGACTGTTATTTACTAACGAGTACAAATTGATAGAACATTAGTTTATTAAACAACTTTCTATCATATGATAGAAAAATTGTAAAGTGGACGAATAATTTGAACTGGTAGTGAATAAATGCATCAGTTTGTTATAAAATGAGAGAAATTCGATCGATCCTATCGAGATATTGCTGAGTTGGAATAGAGTGGTAGGGATATCTGATTCGTTATCGAAAGAAACAACTCTTTCTCTCCCTCTCTTTCTCTTTTTTTTACACATAAATGTATGTATATATATATATATTTAAACATCAGCACAAAGAGCTTTATCCACTTTTAATCACTTCGGCTTACTGGGCAGTTGAACAGCAACGTATCGCATGACTCGTAAAGCCGAATAAACGTTTATAGAAGAAGAAGAAGAAAAAAAAAAGGATCGATTTGAAATAATAATAATAATCGTTACATTCGTTAGAAGCATGACGAGGAAAATTATTCGTAATAACATATACATAAACATTTCTTCGAATGAACCGCATTATTCTTGAAATTAACAATTTTTATCATGAGAGAAATAAAATCGAAGAAATAAACGATAAATAAAATAAATATTAGTGTCATCGTAAAGATTATGAAAGTAATGATTTGTTTTTTATAAAAAATTATACCAATGATTCACAATTTTTTAATCCGTATAATTGTCATTTCTTATGTCAGTGATTTAAACACAAAATTAGAGAAAGTTGGATGATTTGAATTTTAAACGCATAACTATAGGATGAAAGGAATATTATTTATTCTTTTGGGTTCTTAATTAGTAAAAATTTATGTCTGTTTAATTATAAATAAATTTAATCTTAAAATCTATGAAAAATATGTATGTAGGTAGGAAATATTTGATGATTCTACATGAAATATTAAATAAGAGAAAATATGAATATAAATATTAAATATGTGTATATTATAGCCTAGCTAAAGATCACTCTCGGTTGACAAGGAAAACTAATTAGTCCGTGCACGAAGGCTTACGTATTGTCCTACGTTGTTGATTCGTCTCGTACGACAATGGATTCCAACGACAATGGCTACGATAATCGATTTAGACTGCATTCAAAGGTACGAACGGAAGTTAACAAGACGCGCGTGAATCGCGGATTCGTGAACGAGTAGTGAACGATAAAAAAAAAAGATAAAAGAAAAAAGAAAGGTGAGAGTGAAATAGAGAGAGCGAGAGAGAGAGAGAGAGAGAGAGATGGAAAATGTAAGAGAGATTAGAAAACGCTGATTCTCAAATATGCCTGGGGGCGACAACCATGAAGATCTCGATTTTACACAAAAAATTCGTTTCGAGTACCGCGTTATGTAAAAAAGGAATAAAAGGAAAAGTTTTGGTATGTGTGTATGTGCGTGTATGAAAGAAAGAGAGAAAAAGAGAGGGAGGATCAATGAAAAGACGAATTTCATTAGACATCTCCCTCTTTCTCTTTTTCTTTCTCTCCCTTTCTCTATTTATCTATCCATCTATCTCTCTGTCTCTGTCTGTCCTTTTTTTTCTAATTCTTTTTTTTTCCGAGCCCTTCTCTTCCTCGACATGCATCAGCGACCTGCCTTAATGTAGCGTGCATATGTAATAACGATTAGCCTATGCCGGATACAATGACTGGATGAACAGCAAACAGCATGCACGTTCAACTTATATGTATCTACGTGTTTTTCATGTATGCATTGGTCGATGACCCGTTATAAGAAAATTCAAGTTTAATGATAATTACAATTATAACATTTTAAAGAACGTTGTAATATTTCAAGAATATCAAGTCAACATTATTTATTTTTATTAATTATTTCTATACTATTTATCGTTTAATTATTTCATTTTATTTCTTGAAAAGTACATGAAATGATTGAAAATTTTTATGCTATTTGTCTGCATAGAAATATAATATTAATTCTTTTTAAACATTTTTTATTTTAATTTATTAAAATTGAAATATCATTACTTATTCATATCTTTCATAACCACGTGGTTTTTTAGCGGTAAATAATCGACCAATCAAATTACACCTTTCATAATATTTTTATAATTCGCGGGACAAATCAAAGTACAGCGCCACTACGTGCAAGACTTTCGTATTAAAACGAGAAATCTAAACTTAGTCGGTCAAGTCACTGCACTGTAATTTTTTGTACAACTTCCTTAGACTTTTTAATATAAATTAATATATATAATTTATAATTATAATATTAAAATATATATTAATTTGAAATTATTTTCAATACATTTTTTGAAAAATATAATCTTATTTTTTAACATAATAATAAGTATTGTGAGTGCATTGGAATTACCAGACTATATTATATACCTCGTATTATTTTATTTGTTTACTTTAACTAAAAATATACATACCAGCAGTTCCGTTATAAGCCAAACTAACTTATCTACAAAGCAGCCATTTAAGAATTTTCAGTGTACGCTGGTGTTGCTGAAATTAACCCCACCAAGCGTAGCTTGGGCGGAATTCATATCGTAATACATTACGGTTTATAATGTATTTTGTAATACGGTATACTATTAATATTTACATTATTCTTTTGAGAGTGTAATAATTACAAAGGAGAAAGAAAATGTTGAGATTTCTTTCAAGACGACGAGGTCGTAGTGTTACTGGGCAAAACAACTCGTCCCAGATTAAAAATCAGAGGTTACTTAGCAATAAAAATGTTGTGCAATGTAGAGTTGTTTTATTAGATGGTACTGACTTGCCTATCGAATTATCGGTACTTTATTTATTTATATTTATATTTATATTTTTATATTTAAATAAGTGAAATTATATTTACGTCTATACGTTTATACATTTATTTTTATAGAAAAAAGCACTGGCTAGTGATTTGTACGAACAGGTTTTTTATAGTTTAGATTTGATTGAAAAAGATTATTTTGGATTGCAATATACAGACAGCAATAATGTTCAACATTGGTTGGATCCAACTAAACCAATAAAGAAACAAGTCAAAAGTAAGCACTGTTATTTGAAATTCTTTGATGTATATTTTTATCAAATTGTATTATCATAACCTGTATTTTGTTTTGTTATACAGTTGGACCACCATATACACTACGACTTAAAGTAAAGTTTTATTCCTCGGAGCCTAACACATTACGTGAAGAATTAACTCGATACCAATTCTTTTTACAATTAAAACATGATGTATTAGAAGGTAAACTTCATTGTCCGCATCAAGTGGCCGTTCAATTAGCTGCCTTGGCTCTTCAATGTAAGTATTTCTAATATCAGATTTGTAACATTTAATAGTAGGAATATGCTTGTGGATAATGGTAGACACATTTATTTTAGCTGAACTAGGTGATTATGATCCAACAATGCATAGTGCAGCAACCGTATCAGAATTCAGATTTGTCCCAGGGCAAACAGAACAGATGGAATTAGAAATATTAGAAGAATATGCCAAATGTTCAGGTCTCAGTCCAGCGCAAGCAGAATCGGCTTATCTCAGTAAAGCAAAATGGTTGGACATGTACGGAGTTGACATGCACACGGTTCTTGGAAAAGATGCTTGTGAATATTCGTTAGGTTTAACACCAACTGGTATACTCGTTTTTGAAGGAATGCAGAAAATAGGTTTATTCTTTTGGCCTAAAATAGGTCGTTTGGATTTCAAGAAGAAAAAGTTAACTTTGGTAGTGGTAGAAGAAGATGACGAAGGAAGGGAACAGGAACATACGTTTGTTTTTAGACTAGTCAATGAGAAGGCATGTAAACATTTGTGGAAATGTGCAGTTGAACATCATGCTTTTTTTCGTTTACGTGCTCCAGTCAAAGGTACAAGTGGGCGTCAAAATTTCTTTCGCATGGGTTCACGTTTTCGTTACAGTGGAAAAACAGAATTCCAAACTACTCAATTGAATCGTGCTCGTCGTACTGTTCAGTTTGAACGCCGACCGAGTCAAAGATATGCGCGTCGACAAAGTCATGTTCTACGAGAACGTCAACGCCAACAAGTTGAACAGATACAGCCACCGCCTACAAGTCAGTAATAAATATATATTTTTTAAATTATTATTATTGTCGAACCTCAGAATAGGTTATAATGATAAATTATAATTTTGTAGCTGAAGAAGAACCTCTGCAACGTCAATCAAGTCACACTAGTACAAAATCATCAGAGTCCAGTGTTCAAGGAGCGTCGTCACCTTTGGTAGATTCTTTATTAAAATCTCTTGCTAAGGATCAGCAACCTCTTGAACCAAGAAATCAAACAACTGTTGTTAATACTGAAAAAGAATCAGAACCTATGAAACCTACATTGCCTGTTGAAAATCAAGTAGCTAATCAAGTGCAATTAGTACCTAATAATCAGGTCGGTGGTACTTCATCGTTACCACCTCGTACTCCTATACCGCCAGAATCACTTAAATGTAACATATTGAAAGCAAAAGCTCTCGAGCAGGGAAAAAATTCTAATTTAATATCTATCACATCTGTAGATGCATCTGCAGTTACAGTTAAAAACAGTCAACATTCCGATGCAGCTACTATCGTTTCAGTGGTAAGTTCTATTATATTTTTACTATTAGAAAAACATGCTATTTTTATTTTGCTATAGGATTTATCTTGCTTATGTATTTGACTTTATTGTGAATTTGTCTACTTATATTAAAAATTAAATTCGCAAGAGTAAATACATAAATCAGTAAAGTACATATATATAACAAAAAGTATACAACAAAGTGATCAAATCCTTGAAAATCATGTCCTATGTATTGTTTCGCATAATCAGCTTTCAGCTATAAAGTTGTTTGCTTTCTTCTGCTCTTCTTGACTATAGGGTGGAGACAAATTAACGCTTTCTGTAAGCGGAGCTGAAGTAAGTCCAGCAGCAGATTCCACTGTAACTGTAACACATTTCTCATTGGATAATTGGGGCCAAATAGAACAAACGACAACACCATTAAGTCCAAAATCAAATCAATCACAAAATCCATTCAATCCGTTTACCATCGATAGTAAGAATGAAGTAATGACTAACGAAGGCTCTGAAACTACTACTGACACAGTCAGTACAGAAGATGAAAGCAAAAAGAATACGAATCCTTTCATAGATTCTAATCCATTTTTGGGCTTATTAAATCCATTTAAAGAATTACAACCAACAGTAGAAAAGAAAAATGAAGCAGATGCTGCTATTATTACTACTCCTATTACTCCTACTACTCCTACGACTACGACTACGACTACGACTAGCGATAATAAAACAGCTCAAGCAAGAGTTGTTAAAACAGAAGAGATTCAAACAATAAGAACAACAATTACACACAAGGTTAGTACTATCCCTCTGGTGCTTGCAATTATTACATTTAAGACTTATAATGCTAGCTGTGCGTTCGCTTCATTTTATATATTACGCAATATATACGCATACATTTTTGTAATATTGTTTCTATGAAAAAGAAAATATGTTTTGACATCATCGTCATCAATAAATGATATCATACGACCTATTATTCTGTTTATTGTAAAGGATGATAGCCCAGCTGTTTCGGATATCAGTCCATGGTTAGTAGCAGATCCGTCGCAAACTGCAACAACGGAACAATCACCAGGCAAACAAACAGTCATAACTAGAAAGACGGTAATAACAACACAACTATAAATCAATGATCATATTATTTATCTTTTTATATTTTAACTCGCAACATTCCTATCACATTCGACGAAACAACGGCAGCTAACTAATATGACTTTTATTTTCAGTCTATTTATTATCTTTTTTTTACGTCTCATTTATTTTTTTATTATTATTTTTTCCCCTATAAATAGATGACATAAATTTATAATCTCCGAGTATATAAAAAGACATATTTGTGATAAAATATTCGATGGGGAAAAAACTATAAAAATTATTTTTTTATAATAATAAGTATTCGTAGGTCTTTAAACTAGAAAGTAAAGTTTTGCATTTGAATGTTTTTTTTTTTTAACAAATAAATGCATAACTGATTTACATTGCATATTACTTTAAATATACTTGACGTTTCTTAAGTATTACGATTCTAAACTCTTACAAATCGTAAATAATATATTAAGAATAAGTGTCCTTAAGGTTCAGTAATATGCGTTCAATATGCATTTATACTAGATATAAAAGCATGGTGCTTGTGTTCGATATAAAGACTATAAAGAACTAAAAGACAAATAAAGAAAAAAGCTTCAAGCATTTATATAAATATCGATGTGCCTTTAAATTAAAAAAAAAAGTACTTTTATTCTTGAGTATATATAATATATACTGGATTGATATATAAGTAAATATGTACCTTCAAATATATATTTCCAAAAGAAAAAAAATAATAATTTAGAGCCATGTATACTGTTACTTATTAGAACACAACATATTTACTATACATAACAGCCGTTTCATATATATATATTTAAATATTATTTTACTATTAATTTAAAATATTGCCATCGTGTTATTGCATATTATATATATACATATAAGGAAGAAAAGTTCTTACAGACAATATTTTTATAACTACGAACAATAATGATTCTAATCAGTCAAGTTTTGAATGAAAAGACTCATCGTAAGATTGTGCAATATTATAAACATAATCATTTTCAAGTATAATTACATAATACTTGATTACAGTGTCATATGACACAGACCAATATAATAAACATCTGTTTAAAGTATACAAATAAAGTAAATTTTTAATAAACCTGTATCTTTTAAAAATATTTGGAATTATAAGTAAGACTGATAATTACATTTTAAGAAGTTTTTATATATAAACATTTTTATATAAAATATTTATAAATGTAAGCAAATAATCATTAATCCTTTTGATACATTTCCATCATACAGATACATATATCACGAATAAGGTTCTACTGTAAAGGCCAGTTACAATGTGAAAAAATTCACATAGTAAATAAAAAATGAAGTATTACAATGTAATTCATTTTAAGATATTCAAATTTTAAAAATTGTAAACCGAAGTATATCATTGAGTGACTATAATCACCAATTGTATTAAAAGGATTAATAGTATTATAAATGAATTCAAATTCTAATACATTCCTTGTGATTTCGATCAGATTAATAAATTATTAATCAAATTGTAATATTACAATTAATATGTAAACATTTGAAGAATAATATTGCACAATCTGAATTATTAAATAAGTGCTGCTTAAACAGTATTGCTTAATATTTTAAATTGTACACAATAAAACTGGAAAAGCTGTATTATATTCTTCGTGTATTAGATTAAAAGTGTTTTGTAAAAAAAATATATAAATTATCGAAGAATATATATATATATATATTACTATGTTTTAAAAAAATATATAAATCAACGAGAATGTGAAAAGTAATACATTGTTTTGTTAATACAATGTATACTGCATTTATATATAGAGATTATAGTAATATAAATATATAGTACGTATGTGTATAAATCTGTTAATTTTGAGATTTAACATATTCGCTACTGGTGTCACATATCTGTGACACATTGTCATTTTAATCAACGTGAAAAATAAATCCTAAGCAATGGTTGGAAACTCTTTTTCATTGTACAGTAGCGAACATGTTAACAAGTAAATTAAATAATTTTAAAAATTATTACGCGCTTTAATTTTATAAATAATAATCAATAGGTCAAGTTTGTAAACCAACACTCGTCATTATAGTTCATTGATAAAACTAAAAAATGATTTTTATTTTGAAATGAGAGAAAAAGTAACGTTTTTATTTTCATAAAAATTAATGTATATAATTGGTTATATATTCTTACTTTTAATTATTTAACTCTAAATTTGGAATATTTTAGCTTAAATTAAATTTTTTTTAATTTTATTTTTCTTTATTAACAAATTATTTTTTCTATCAGAAAACTTTGTAAGTATGGACGGATATAGCTAGAAAATATTTCAATTTAACTGATCCATATAGTTAATTCCTCTCCACTTAATAATAATAATTCCTTAGAACAATACGTACTTAATTAAAATTTAAAATCGAATAAAAATTAATCGAATGTATAAGTATTTATTTTAACGGAACATGACGAATGACATTGTTTTTAAAATAAGATCGAATTATTTTATATATTTTACCGAGAGATGTACTTATTATATTAAATGTCAATAATTGCATATAAAGCATAACACATAGAACTTTAAAATATACTATAAATAAATGTAAGTAATTGTTTATCATATATATTATTATTATTATTGTTATTATTATTATTATTATTATTATTATTATTATTATTATTGTAAAAGCTTTTTTTTCATCAATTATTTTCTATTTTTATATATATATATATATTCTATAAATTTTACCTATTGTTATGCTTCTATATAACTATTGACAAACATTCATTAGTTCATATTTACATATTATGCTTGTTATATAGTATAACACAACGCAGAAAATTATTTTTATTATTTCTTTATATTATATCTTATATTTTTTCATTTTAGATAATAATACCATAAAGCAGGGTTCCTCAGACTTTTTCACTTGGCAACTATTGCGTTGAGCAAATATTTGCTGACTCGAACAAATATTTTCTTTTACCATCTTTTCTTTCAATATCATAAACTCACAGACATACTTTACATATAGTGTCGTCAAACTGGCTTTGAATTAATTTTCAGTTATTGCGCGTCCAAGTATTTTTTAGTTTTTCTTATACATCTGTGTCCTCAAATTTAATTACGTGATCCACATTTTTGGAAATCCTGCCATAAAGCATAATATGTAAATGTAAGCATTTTAAACGACACTACACATTTCATTAGAGTACCAATATATATATAGATCTATCCATAACATTAATACAAGTAATTTATTAATATTATTTTTGCTTATGTTTTTAGTCATCCATAATTTGTGTTATATATTTTGATATAAATATACATATATATGTATGTATATGTGTACATTATATATACAACACATACATACATTCCATATTTGTCATGTATTTACATACATTATTATTATTACTATTATTATGAATATTATTAATATTGATACCCTGATACAATCCGTCCTAATGTGTGTCATATGCTGTCTATTAAGTAATGTATCTACAAATTTTCTGCTTTTTAAATAAACACTGTATCACTGAAGTAAAACATTGAATTTAGTTTGAAACAAAAAAAATATCTATATGTCTAATCAATTAAAATTATTTATTATTTTGCAGGGGCTGCTTACACGTAACAAAAATAATTTGTAGTTGGTAAATGTAAAAAATGTAATGTCTTTGTTTCATTTCATCTTTTTACTTAATTGTTATTGATTTAAAAAAAATTTCTTTTCTTCTTTTTTATTTATTTATTTATTTATTTTTTTTTTAATCTAATCTTTAAACATAATAACTCGATAATTGAACATTTCGTCTCGACAAAACATATAAAAAATCGCTAAAAACAGCGTTACAACAATTTTTATTAAGAGATATGCAAAAATAATCACTCGAAAAATGTCTTAGAAAATTCTTAATTTTTAAATCAGCGCATATTCAATTCTATAGGCCAAAATTCTTCTATAATCATTCATTTAAATATTAACTATATGATACTAAATTACATTAAAATAATAACAAAAGATAGCATATTGTGACAATTGTTTAAGTAATTTTTTTAGTTATATAAATAATCATTAAGTAGGCATCTTTAGTTTTATTAAAATGATATATATATATATATATATTTATCATATA